CCAAATACACGAACTCATCGACCACCTCGATTTCGTCACCGTCAATCTGAACTCGGGGTGGGAGGCTAACATTGTCTTCCCTAGAACCTCTTGCTTTCATATATTTTGTCTTTGATGCGTTGATGGCAAGTCCAATCCGTCTAGCTTCAGCCTTCAGTCTGATGTACGTTTCCGCCATCATCTCAAAGTTCCGTGCCATAATGTCAATGTCATCGGCGAAACCAAGGAGCTGGATGGACTTCCTGAATATCGTGCCACTCGTGTCTATCCCAGCTCTTCTGATCACACCTTCTAACGCGATGTTGAACAGCAGACACGAAAGTCCATCACCCTGCCGTAACCCCCTTCGAGATTCAAAGGGACTCGAGAGTGTCCCCGATACTCGAACAACGCACGTCACTCGATCCATCGTCGCCTTGACCAATCGCGTCAGTTTATCCGGAAATCCGTACTCGTGCATAATCTGCCATAGCTGATCTCGATCGATTGTGTCGTATGCGGATTTGAAATCGATGAACAAATGATGTGTGGGCACGTTGTATTCGCGGCATTTCTGCAGAACCTGCCGAATCGCGAAAATTTGGTCCGTGGTAGCGCGGGCATCCATGAATCCCGCCTGGTATTGCCCCACGAACTCTCTTGCATATGGTGACAGACGGCGGCATAGAATTTGGGAGAGTACCTTGTAGGCGGCGCTCAGCAGTGTGATCGCGCGGTAGTTGCAGCAATCCAACTTGTCGCCCTTTTTGTAGATTGGGCATACGACACCTTCCATCCACTCCTCCGGTAATATCTCCTCCTCCCAAATCTTGGCAATTACCCAGTGCAGCGCTCTAGCCAGTGCTTCACCACCGTATTTCAATAGCTCACTTGGTAGTTGATCTACACCAGTTGCTTTGTTGTTCTTCAGCCGACCGATCTCCTCCTTAACTTCTTGAAGATCAGGGGCCGGTAGCCTGTCGTCTTCTGCGCGTGCTCCAAGGTCTGTTGCCGTGCCACCTTCGTTTTCTGCTGCTTCACCGTTGAGGTGCTCGTCATAGTACTGCTTCCACCTCTCAATCACCTCACACTCGTTCGTGAGAAGGTTACCGTCCAAGTCCTTGCACATATCGGCTTGCGGCACGTAGCCTTTGCGCGAACTATTTAGCTTCTCGTAGAACTTCCGTGTGTCGTTTACGCGGTACAGATTTTCCATCGCCTCGCGATCTCGATCTTCCTGCTGACGCTTCTTCCTTCGGAAAACCGAGTTTTGTCTGTTCCGCGCTTGTCTGTATCGCTCCACATTCAATCTCGTGCGGTGTTGCAGCATTCTCGCCCGTGCTGCATTCTTCTCCTCTACTAACAGTTTGCATTCGCCGTCAAACCAGTCATTTCTTCGGTCCGGGATTGCAGTACCTAGTGCCGCTACAGCAGTACTACCTATGGCTGAACGGATGTCCCTCCAGCCATCTTCAAGAGAAGCTGCGCCAAGCTGCTCTTCCGTGGGTAGTGCAACTTCCAGCTGCTGCGCGTAGTCCTGGGCAACTCCGGTGTCCCGTAGTTGCTCAATGTTGGGTCGTGGCGTTCGACTTCGACGTGTGTTATGCACCGTCGAGAGTTTTGAGCGCATGCATACTGCAACTAGGTAGTGGTCCGAATCTATGTTCGCACTGCGGTACGTGCGGACGTTGATAATGTCGGAGAAGAATTTCCCGTCGATTAGAACGTGATCGATTTGGTTTTCTGTGTGTTGGTCAGGTGATCTCCAGGTGGCTTTGTGGATATCCTTGCGGGGGAAAAAGGTACTTCGAACTACCATACCCCGGGAGGCTGCAAAGTTCACGCATCGTTGGCCGTTGTCGTTCGATACGGCATGCAGGCTGTTTGGCCCGATTGCCGGTCTATACATTGCCTCCCGTCCTACCTGAGCGTTCATGTCGCCGATGACGATTTTGACGTCCCGTTGCGAACAGCCGTCGTACACCTGCTCCAGCTGCGCATAGAACGCTTCTTTCTCGTCGTCGGGTCTCCCTTCGTGTGGGCAGTGCACGTTGATGATGCTGTAGTTGAAGAAACGGCCCTTAATCCTCAACTTGCACATCCTCGCGTTGATCGGCTGCCAACCAATCACGCGTTGGCGCATCTTACCCAGCACTACAAAGCCGGTTCCCAGCTCGTTGGTGGTGCCACAGCTCTGGTAGAAAGTAGCCGCTCGATGCCCGCTTTTCCATACCTTTTGTCCCGTCCAGCAAAGTTCCTGCAGTGCTACGACTTCGAAGTTGCGTGGTTGAAGTTCGTCATAGATTAACCTATCGCAACCCGGGAAGCCGAGCGATTTGCAGTTCCATGTTCCGAGTTTCCAATCGTAGTCCTTATTTCGTCGCGTAGGTCTGTGCCGATTGTTCCGATCCGTATTTCTTTCTTCGGTATTTGCAACTTTGTTTTTTTTCCAGGGCGGCTTGTTGGGCCTGCCCCAACCCCCTGTCTCGCCGGGGGACCATCGTGCACAGCTCTGTTTAGAGTCCCACGCTGGCACTAGGACGGTGATCAGCCGCTCCTAACATGGAGAACAGACGCCGTTTTGAGCCGCACCTCCATGGTGAGCAGACGCTCAGGTTTGGTGAAGCATTTCCTCTATCACCGTACTATGGTTACCGCGCCAGTGTTCGCGTCGCACCTCTTCACTTTGCTATTGCCGGACTGGCAACATTGCCCAGGCTACGCCAACCAGCTGTGTCCATGTTTCAGCTGGTAGTCTTTTGTTATCATATGACTCGAGGAGGCGTGAAGTAGGAACTTGTGAGGACCAGGGCTAGGTATTCCGCTCCTTCCAGGTTGTCAACTCACCATTTTGTAGCCCGATCTCTTGATTGATGGTTCCTGTAATAATGAAAATCCCGCTTTTTAGACCACTCGTGCATATGGCCTGCCAGACGAGCTATTTTTTCGGGAACTTCGATAGTTTGATGGTTTTGAAAATTTCAGCCACCTTCCCTTTTCCTGAAGTGGTATAAAACTCCTGTCCCGGAAGCTGCTTGAAATTCGACTTCACATAAGTTTCGTGTGTGAACGTCGGATTCTCTTGCTGTCCGAGCAAAATTTTGACACGCTACTCCTCTTGCTTGGACGTCATTTTGAAAACTGGAGAGCAAACGGTGAAAACTCATCATAGCAACCATTGTATACACACTCAACTTCCAAATGCAGCATTTCAGGTTTTTTTAATGCATTTTTAACAGAAATACACCAATTTGAAGTTGACCATTGACTTTATGTGCTGTCCCAATATAGTATCACATCCCATTTTAAAATTTATTTACCAGGCCTGTTTGACGTAATCACCTCCCGATCAAAATATGTTTCGATGTTACTCAAGTCACCCGATCGCTATGGAGATGCCGTTCGTCGTTTTGTTTTCTCATTATTTAAGTGAATATATCGAACTGTTTGTTGCTAAGATGATTCCAGTGGTCTTAAAATGAGGAATGGGCTACACGTAAGGAAACGTAATTGGTAATTCAACCGAATATGCTGGAAAATATACTTTGACTTAAGTAACATTAGGGGGCCACCAAACGACGTATAATAACTTTTAACTCAAAAACCAGTATTTTTAGCATGAAAGCTAGCGATCTGCTTTGTATGATTTAAACCCTGCTTTATATGTTAAACATTGTTATCACTAAGAGATTATGTGTGTTTAATTGGAAATAGGAATAACTTGTGGGCCATCAAAACAATACTTTATTTTTCTCGGATCGGTGCGAATGTTACTTTCGACATAATGAAAATTCGCTCTTGATTTGTATCTTAATTTGCCGTGAAACACTATTTAAATTTTCCAAAGAACTGCTTGAACATGAAAAGTAGAAAGAATAATATTTGAGAGTTAGTCACCCATTTTATCCTCCAACAATTTGACCAGATTAGCGATTTCAACCGTTCTGTACATTCGACCTTATGTCCTCTTTGACCTTTTTCCATTCGAACTTTTGACCATTAGATCATTTTTCAACATCCGAGCTTCTGTACATTCAACCTTTTGTACATTCGACCTTTAGTCCATCTAAAATCAATTCGACCTTTTGTCTCTTCAACCTTCTGTCCTATTCGACCGTTTGTCCATTTCGACATTTTTGTCCATTCGCCCTTTTGTCCTTCTAAGTTCAATTCAACCATTGGTCCAATCTACCTTTTGTCCATTCGACCTTTTGTCCGTTCGACCTTTTTTCCATTCGACCTTTTGTCCTTTCGTGCTTTTATCCTTCGACCTTTAGTCCTATAACCTCCTTTTAGAACTCCGCAAATTTCGGATGCTTGATTTCCAATTCATATGGGACAGTTATGCTTTTATGAGCAGTTTATGTGCGTGCCATTTTTATCGAATAAACCCTTTAAACATAGCAGATGTTAAAGGCTAGCTAAAATGGAAAAAAAGCAGATCGAACTCTGGATTCCTGCTGATAAATTTTACAGTGATCTCCATCGGTTCACATCAGTACCCAAGCCAATTGGCACCTACTTTGAGTTCTCTCACCAATCAACCAAAGACTTTTCTGTACAGCTCAATCAAGCACCAGACGTGTTAACATATAATCTAGGTCAATTGACTGTTGACCGGTAGAATGGAAGTTCAAATGAGCTAGAACAACAGACTAACAATAGATGGAATAAACAGAGAAAGCAACATTTTCTGTTCAACCCCTGCGCAACCTGGTCACAATTTGTTCACTCCCGCGAAACACTAATGCCGCGGAAACACTTCTATGACAAACTATGAACATGAGCATTATTTGTATAATAGATTTTGAGCACATCCATGGTCACACTTGTATAGTTTTTATATAGTTGTTGTATAGTGTTTATTATTATAGTTTGTCGTCAAAGTGTATCCGCGGCATAAGTACTTTACGCAGCAGCGAAAGGGGGACAGTGTAAATAATAATCGATTCCATTTGTCACACCTCGTTCCGCCGGGATCACTAATCGTTTAGACTTCAACAACTCAATCCACTCACAGAATGCTATCGGTTCGGTTGATCATTCTGTTGAAAATTTTCATACTCTTTGCCATCGCAAAGTGCAACACAGCCTGCAACGATACGCAACCTACCTCATCCTGTGAGGCTCATTCTCGCGAGAAACGATACTTGTCGTTCGTCATCAATGGAGGTGTAGCCAAGTTTGTTGTCGGTGGGGTTTTTCCGGTGTTCTTCCACCACAAGCTGAAACGGAGTTTAAACGCTGCCGTTAACCTGCAGGCCAACTATGCCATCCCGCCGAAAATCATCTGGCCCGTGCCGGAGCATATTTTCCGGGAACGATTGAATCAGGATTTTACGGACAACAGTAGACCACAGCTGTACCGGTTGCTGGAGCGAATGATCGACAGTTGGGGACGAAATGGAAGAACCTGTCTGCTGAGGACGATCTGCGAGATGGCCGACACTCCGCTGAGTCACAATGGAATGTTTGGTGAAATATTGGATGTGATATTCTCGTCAGTAGTTCTAAGGACTGTGTACGGTTGAGAAAGAGGTTATGATTTTTGAATTCCTTTTTAGACCCAATGATTCCGACGACATCGACAACGAGTACGTAATGGCGCGGAAATACGGAACGCATGGTGTTAGTTGCTCCGAAGTATTCAGAGAGTGCCCTTACGGACATGGGCTACTGGATGCGATTACAACTCTGAATCCGTTCAAATTTTGATATGGATGGAGGTTTTAATTTATTGTTTTCAATTAAATAACTATTTTGTGGTGTGGTAATAATTTTTATTTCAAAGGTCTAGAAGTTAAGCGATGATGTGTCATGCAGTGTTTGAAGATAGTCTGAATGGGATTATAGTATCAGAACGTTGCCAAAAGTATATTAAGTGCACATTTCATCACCGAGTATGACGACAATGGAAGCATTGCATAGCATCATGTCTGCAGCCTGCAATTAAATTCAACCCAATCGAATAAAACTCCTTTTTAATTCCGCAAAACAATAACGATGACGCATTGTACAGGAATCACTGGTAAACTAAATGCTCCAAGACCACGAGTAGTTTTGGTAGCAAGGGGAAAAATATAAAAATAAGTGATCCGCCGAAATTATTCCTACGATTAGATGAGTCATTCCGTCGAGTCAATCAATTTTAATATTTATCTACACATGTGATAAATGCGTTCTCTCGCTTTAATGTGTTTAAACAAAACCTGTCCCGAGAACGTTAAAAAAATCTAACGCGGCGATTAAGCAAAATTTCATAGAACGTGATGAAAGAAACACAGTTGCAATAAGATCTAATGAGACAATCCGGTCAAATTTGGTTCAAACGATAAATAAAATGGATGTTCCCTTCAAAGGAATTATAAGTCGAAAAGAGGTACATACTGCTTCATTGCAGGCAGCTCAACTAGCAATTATCGACTACCTTTTCGAAGGGACAAATCCACTTTTGAAATCAATCCATTTGAACGTCGATTTGAAGTAACTGGTAGCTCGCCCACGCATGCTTTTCCCCTACCTGCTAGTGGTGTTAGTAAGCGTGTGCGAGCTACCAGTTACGCCAAATCGACGATCAAATGCATTGTTTACAAAAGCTGATACGTCCCTTCGAAAAAGTAACCGAGAATTAGTTTTGTGGGAAGTTATCAAATCGGTTTTTTAGACTGCCGGCCAACAGCAGACCAAATCTACGATAGTTTGTGTACTTCGAAGATGTCGGGTGCTTTGACGGACTCGTTCGAAACACGCATGAGACTTTGACAAGGCGATGTGTTTTCCTGCATTCTGTTTAACATTACGCTATAAGGAGTTATGAATCGTGCAGACTTAACATGCGAGGCACCGCATTATCATTGCAATTATCAACTAAAGCTTCATGTTAGATAGAATTTCCAAATAACTCTGAAAATCGCAAACTTCGCGTGTGAAGTAACATAAAAACACTTTGAATGTCTGCAGATCTTCCTAGAAGTCCGTAGAATATTTGAGACGTCCATAGAACTTCTGAAAAGTCTAGAGAGTTTCCAAGAAGTCCGTAGAATATCCGAAAAGTTCGTATAATATCCGAGTAGACCGTAGAACTTTCGAAAAGTTCGTAAAACTTCCAAGAAGTCCATAGACGGTGGCACGGCAACAGACCTTGGACGACAGGCTACCGGCCCCTGATCCTCAAAAAGTAGAGCAGGAGATCGGTCGGCTGAAGTACAACAAATCAACTGGTGTAGATATACTGCCAAGTGAGCTATTAAAATACGTTGAAGCACTGGCTAGAGCTCTGCACTGGATATTTGCCAAGATTTGGGAGGAAGAGATATAACCGGAGGAGTGGATTGAAGGTGTCGTATGCACAATCTACAAAAAGGGCGACAAGTTGGATTGCTGCAACTACCGCGCGATCACACTGCTGAGCGCTGCCTACAAGCCGCTCTCCCACATTCTATGCCACCGTCTGTCACCATTTGCAAGAGAGTTCGTGGGGCAATACCAGGCAGGATTTAACGGTGCCCACGCTACCACGGACCAAATTTTCTCGATTCGGCTGGTTCTGCAGAAATTCCGCTAATACAACGTACCCACACATCATTTGTTCATCGATTTCAAATCCGCATACGACACAATTCATCGAGATCAGCTATGGCAGATTATGCACAAGTATGGATTTCCGGACAAACAGACGCGATTGGTCAACAGAGTCCCTTTAAATCTCGAAAGGGTTAACGGTTAGGTGATGGGCTTTCGTTTCTGCTAGGTATTTTACATCACGTTAGAAGGTATGATAAGAAGAGCTAGGATAGACACCAGTGGCAAGATCTTCAGGAAGCCCATGCAGCTTCTTGGCTTCGCCGATGACATCGAAATAATGGCACGGAACTTTTAGACGATGTTGGAAACGTACATCAGTCTGAAGGCTGAAGCCACGCAAATTGGACTAGCCATCAATGCATCGAAGACGAAATACATGAGAAGAGAGGTTCTTGGGAAGACAATGTAGCCCTCCCGCCCCGAGTTCAAATTGACGGTGATGGAATCGAGCTGGTCGACAAGTTCGTGTATTTGGGCTCACTGGTGTCCGACGAAAATGATTCCAGCAGAGAATTCAAAGACGAATTATGGCAAGGAATTGTGCCTTCTTTGGACTCCGGAGGACGTTCTGGTCAATTAAATTTGCCGCCGCACCAATGGAGTGCTGATGGAAGATGGAACGTGGAGGAGGTGAATGAACCACGAATGGCACCAGCTGCAGGGAGAACCATCAATTGTCCACACTGCCAGTGCTTCAAGATCTTGACCATACACGGTGATATTGACAATTCTGCTTTGATCACTCATTTGAGCTAACAGTCATAGTCAAGGGTTCAAGCCCAGTTGGCGCTGCCGGGATGTTATGAGGCATAACATCTCTGATCAAAGCCTTTGGTCCCCGGTTCATGAGTTGATGGGTCGAAAGGTAGGGTCCAGGTGTGGGAGCTGCCTCCCTGGCGTCGGTAGCATTGGTGCTCAGCACGGAAAACAAGATTGACGAAAAACAAATCAAGGAAAAAAATCTTTAAATATCTCTTAAATTGTTTTTCAATTCTCCTCAATAACTCTTTGCTATTCTTCTCAAAATTGTTAAGACAATTCTTCGAAGTTAGCACTCTTGAAAAAAATCTAATTCTAAGAACTTTAAAAATTATTCCTTAGCAAAGAATCTTCTTTCGTGTTTTAATTAAGACAGTGGCAACTAAATTGCCGACTGCCATTTTTTGAAGACTTTTGCAAATGATGAAAGTCAATTTGAGAGCAATATTTGTGTCAACAAATGGTCATTTTTAACCAGAAACATTTGAACTGTTTAAACTATTTTCAAACTAAACGTATTTTAGAAAAATTGAAGCCAATTAAAAGATCCAAATTTCATATTAAATGACCAAAATCCCACCACATTTGGCTGAGAGATGAACTAGTGTCAGATTAAAATTATCTTTTATAAAAAATAAATAAAAAATAAGCTGACTTGGCTTTAAAATTATAGCAGTTTGAAAAAAAGTGCTAAAAAAGATGAAGTTTACTAAAACTGCTCAAAATTCCGACTGGCATAATCGATGAAACTCCAATCTTAACAGATAAATCTTGAATATTTAATTAATTAACCTTCAAATGTTGATGCACACCCTGAAACGTAACACCTCTTTGAACAATGCTGGAGAAAAATAAAAAATGTAACCTACTTTTCATACAAAATTTTTGAGTTATAAAACTACAAGGGGCTTGTATGCAATGGTGATGTAGGACTACGTGGTCTTATATAATCAATCTAATTTGTTAACAGCAGCAGGAGCTTGTGTTTTGTGTAGGAATAGGAATTTGAGCGGGGTTCTTTCTGTTTATACTCTTTAGTATGACGCGATTGACACAGATGGCCCACAGCGACTCACGAAGAGCTACTGATTTCGATCAATAGCGGTGCTGCTTCTTTCTCCTTCTATGGATGCTCATGTTGGCTGCAGCTCGCTGCTTGCAGGCCACCTTTCGTTGTGTACTGGCGAACAATGTTCAACGCCATGCACCGAAAGCACTGCTGCTGCTGTTTCTGATGATTTCGACGACCGGACACCACCACACACGGTGATTGGAACTGAATCCGATCAACGGTTAAGGCCAGCCTTGAGAGCTAGCTGCTTGCGGGGAGCCTTTCGTTGTATACTAGAGAACACTACCACTCACAACGCGGTGATTGAATAAACACCGTTTGGTGATACCGGATGGAATTCAACTCTGATATCTGTGTTAGGGAAATCGGTTTTCGCAGGCAATCGGTGATAATTTTAAGTATCTTAGCAACAGTTGCACATTCGTGCAATTTTCAAAAGTGACATTTAAAAATGATAAAACATTAAATTAAATATTTGCGTAGAAATATTTCTGATCGATTGGTTATAAAATTATTGAATTGGTCCAGGGGCAGCTGAGTAATTAACGTTCAAAATATTTCAAAATTTTGTTACATGTACCATTTTCGGTTTTCACAAAGTGTACCCCCATATAGAAACCACAGACATAGTCCTACGTCAAAAAGCTGTGTATCTGCTCGTTAAACCAGGTGAACTTTCCCTTTTACTGTATTACGTGTTGATTTCATGTTTGGTATCCTCGGCCTTATAAAGGGTTGAAATGTAGTTTCATGATTTTTTAATAGTCCGTTACCTTTAATATTTCTGTAAGACCCAATGACGTGAATATTTCTCCAAGTCTGTATGCAATCTTAAAAATTTAAATAGGTAAAAATAATGTTCTTGGAACTCTCGACGAACATTTGAGAATGACCAATCGTCGAGTTCTCATGAATCACAAAACTTCCCACATTTTTAAACGTTTGGATAACTACAACCAAAGCCATACTAATTCACCGAAATCTTCATACAAAATTCAAACCATTGGCGCGAACTATATAAACCGTAACGTGGGTAGATCACTTTTTCGTGGTACGTTACGGGATCTACCACCGATTCCTAGTCCTGACTACTTCAAACTAGGGGAACAGGATTTATCAGTAATCCAAGGAACACATCTTAGTCCTTGATACTTTTTATGCCTTGTTGATAGTGACTAGACTCGGCTTTGTTCACCGAGGATGATCTTGAAACAAGGAAAAAATGAGTTAGTTAGTCTTCATCTATGTGATTCCTAATCTTCTATTCGTTGTTCCCTAGTTTGAAGTGGTTAAGACTAGG